ATTTCTAGGTTTTTGTTTTTGTCGTTGTTTTATTTCATTAAAAAAAATCTTAGAGTTAACGTTTTCCGGTCACGAACCTATGCTATGTGGTGAGAGCAGTGTATCGATCAGGATCAGTGTAAATGTTGTTTGAATGTTATTTCATCAAGCTTTGTAAAATGAATCTTTTTTAGGTCCTGAGGAATGTAACTGCCCATCTAACAACGTCTTGTTGGCCATAATTGGGGTTCTTGCCCTCACAGTCCTTCTTCTAATTATTTACATAATCTGGCTACATAAGAAAGGTAGGTAAAAAATCATAATCTGTAGAAGGTTTGGCTGCAAGATTCATTATTAAGCGAAAGCAAATTTTGACCCACATCCACATCACTGGTCTTTTAGTCCTTTCGTTCTTTTTCAGGCGCTGTAGGGAAACAGAGGTAAGAATTTGCTGCCAGCTGGATTGTGTCGATGTAATGTACCAGATATGGTTTCATCTTAATAAAAAATTCTAATCAAAACTGATGAAATTCTTAGCGTTTCATAATTATTTCTATGCTTTCTCAATTTTAGAAATTATGAAGATGAAAGAAGTGTTTGCGACGTAAGTATCAGCTAAGACATTGAGGTCATGTTAGTGTGGTCAGAAATTATGTAATCTCACTTTACCTCTACTTTCTATAAGAAAATAAACGCTTGCAGCAAATAAGAAGGAAAAACTGTGTAGTTCTACAAAAAAAAAGCACCGGCAGATACAATGAAATAGAGGATGGAAGTTTGACTCGATAAGGTCTTTGTCCTGGAATCATGTTTTAAGCCGCTCCATGGATTTTCCTTAGGTTGTTCTCGGCTCAACTGCGTGGCGTCACTTCATAGATCGTTAACTGGTCTGCTCCCGGTTGATATTTGCTTTTTAAACAATTGATTGACAATTGCCGTCATATTTTCTTGATGCCTCATTTTCTAAACGTGGGTTTAAGAGCTGAGTACAGCAGGAGTTTTTTCGTGGGTTTATTTGTCAAAAATTGCACTACCAATCGACAATCTTCAAGTTGCAGTTTGTAGCTTCGGCGAATATGCTATGAGTCTCGATCACTCCACTGGACATAATAGTTTCAAAAGCAGAGAACAAAATGTTAGTAGTAAAAAATGTTAGCAATAATAGGGACAAGAGATTATAAACTTTTTTTCATCTCTTGTTTTGAAAGAATATAAACGTTTGTCAAATAAAAATGAGTAAACTGATTTTTATAACCAATGGTATGTTGGTTTAATAGAATGAAACAGGATTAGTAGATATCACACCAAGTCAGCCAGATTCAAGAAAACTCACTCAATCTCCTGCGGAATACATGGATCTCATAGAAGTCAACAAAGATGATAGAGAAGCACAAAGTACCGCTACAGGTGCTGATTACGTGCCTCTTCTTCCGTTAACACGCTGCTGGGAAGTTCCAAGACATCACGTGACCATAGAAAAAATCATTGGTAAAGGTGCTTTTGGTCAGGTTGCCAAGGGAACAGCAGTAGGACTTCCAGGGAGTCCTGAGACGACCACAGTGGCTATTAAGATGCTTAAAAGTGAGCTCTTGTACTGTATATTGAATGACAGTCTTGGCCTACAGACGTTCAGGAAATGTTACCGGGTTTACGTAATTTTTTAGCTATTTGCCTTTTCATAACTTATGTTGTTATTTCGACATTATTCCCGTTAACCAAATTTTACTCCTTGTTTTTAACGCTCCAGCAAACGCTATTGAATCGGACAAGAGAGATCTGATGAAAGAACTTGACACAATGAAGCAGCTGAAACCACATCCTTACGTCATTAAACTTCTAGGATGTGTTACGGACTCTGGTATGCTTTGGTTATGCGCGTTTAATTTTGCTGTACACATTTTGCTTATGATTGATTGAGCACAACAAACAACCATGGCATGAGGTAATTTTATCTTGTTTTAGCCAACACAGACGTTCCTGGATTTAGTGATAGACTAAGACCGAATATTTGCCACTGAACAGATCATTTTGTTGTATAAGCAGAAACGCTTTTTGTAAGGGAATAATTGGTCTGTACCTTCTTCACATAGTTTTTCTTGTTTTCATGCGATTTCTTCAAAAGTGTTGACAATGACAGGGCTATTCATTTGTTTTAATTATTGTTTTTTTTTTTAAGAGAGAGCAATATATTAACTAAATTGTTTAATTTCTTCAGAAGAGCTGTTGGTTTTGATTGAATATGTGCCTTTTGGGGATCTGCTGGGTTACCTGAGAAAGAGCCGTGGATTAAAAGACACTTATTACAAAGACCCGGATATCAAACCACAAACAAATCTGACGTCACAGCAGCTGATGAGGTTTTCTTGGCAAATTGCTGATGGAATGAGTTACTTGTCCGCAAAATCTGTAAGTTAATTAAAAACACAAAAGACAAACAATTCTGAAACCTTCTTGTAAGGTCTATCGTCATGTTAAGCTCTGTCTTGCATAGAATATTATGTCTTCTCAAGATCACGCCCGGGAGTTGCAAACGTATCCTTACCGTCTTGTTGAGGCTATTTCTTTAGGGTCGAGAACCTTCCCAATTTTGAGGTCATCATATAAGTCTTATTTCAATGTGAAATAAAATATTAGGATTTTTCTCGTGTAGGCAAAGGGAGAGACGTGAATGAATAGGATCTTTTAAGATATTCAGCCTAAACTAAGTGTACAACAAATATATATTTTAGTGACAAGGAAGAAAAGGAATTAAAACTTCAAATTAAAAAATTCATCTTTTGTTGCCAAACTGCTACATTACAGAATCCTATTTCGATTAAAATCTTAAGATAAGCGTTCTTTAAAATAACTACGTTTTGCAGACATAAAGTAGTTTGCTTCTCTTTGAAATATAGAGTAGATATTGTAGTAGTTTTAATTTTCTGCCATCTGGGAGAAAAAGAAATACGCACACCATATGTTGCTAGATATTTCTATTTTCCTATCCGAACCATTTCATTTCAGTTCTTTTTCTTCTGCAATCGCTAATTTTTGCTGTTGCATCAATTCTTTCCAAGATCATTCACCGAGACCTTGCGGCCCGTAATGTGTTGGTTGGACAAAAGGAAACATGTAAAGTGACAGACTTCGGAATGGCCAGAGATGTGCAGCAGAAAAATATTTATGAACAAAAGACTAAGGTAATCAAGAAAAAGGGGAGGTGAGGGCGGTATTACATATTGTTCAGTTTAGTTATCTTTCACAACCATTGTTGTTTTAATTCCTGATTTCGATCATGAATTCCTTGGGACCCTAATGAAAATATTATCCATGCGTATACGACTACAACTTTAAATATCACTGTTTTTGACTTGTCGCTACCTATAATTCTCGAGCTGTTTCACAAAGTGGTATTTAAAATCTTTAGGGCCGCCTTCCCGTGAAGTGGACAGCTTATGAGGCCTTATTGTATGGTAAATATACCACCAAAAGTGACGTGTAAGTATACCTGATTATCAACCGTAGCAATTTATCAACAAGTTTTATCAGTTTTAGTCAGGACTTGAATTCTATGCTTTGTCAAAGAATACATTTATTTTATTTGTCGTATATGCTGTTTATGTCTATAGTCACTTAATTTATATTCGTTTGATTTGTCTTTCTGCAGATGGAGTTATGGAGTTTTGTTGTACGAGATTTTCACCATAGGTAACATCGAAAGGAAGTTTATGAGGCTCTTAATTAAACAATGTATCGTGTTCAGTTAAACAAACGTAATATGCTTCCCCATGCAACCTCAAACTCCATCAACTGACACAGGTGATGTTTTAGTGAAGGTCTTTTTTTCGTCACGTTTATATTTCGATGGTCTTGTGGTTCTTCCAGGCGGTTCACCTTACCCACGAATGGATGGAAGAAAAATTGCAAACTTACTCCAGGATGGATACAGGATGCCTAAACCACAACACGTCGATGAAAAATTGTAAGATTTCTTTGTTACCTCGTTCTCTCTCATTGTACAAGGATATGCTCTTTAAATCTCAAAAAGATCACTTGAACAATGCCAGGTATCAAATCATGATGAAATGCTGGAATAATGACCCAGATGCAAGACCAACTTTCACTGAATTGAAAAATCAGCTTAAGGACATGGAAACCCTACACAAGGTCAGAATTTTGATCAATATGAAAGTTTCTTTTCACGTAGGACCAACTGGCTTAGGCTCAGCTAATTAGGGTTAAACTTAACAGCATTGAGCCTAAATAGCGTAGTAATATGTACTCATCTTTGTAATTTTTACGAAGTTTGCATTGCATCTTTTTGTTATGACACTGAAGCTAGTACTCCACGAAAAACATCAAAGAAGTGAACAAGAATGTCTCAATGACAATTAATACTTTATGGTTATTTAAAAGATCCTAGGATGATTGCAAAACTGCATTGAGACGCACAAAGTGTAGCAGATGACGACGCCATAAAATACTTCCTCCTTGAATTTGTTTTGGTGTGAAAACCTGACCACTCATGAGGATAACCACTTAAAACTTTTTTAATGATGCTGATTATTATATTATTTTTCTCTGCAGAAGCTAATTGACATGAAAATGTACGACAAGCAATTGTATGCAAACGTCGAGGATTTAACGGTGTAGTTAGGTACACGTCTACGGTGTATGACCTGCTAACATTTTGAACACTTTGCCCAGATAAGTTTCAGGGGTTAATCATCGTTTCCTTACACGCTTACTTGGTAGAAATAGCCATGTTGCGTTTAGCAGTTAGGCTGGAACGTTGTAATACAATGGACTTTATATTCTTAAACGCTGAAACGCTTTTATAAGTTTACCGATAAAGTTTAATCTCATTTTCTCTTTAACATATTAAGTACTTACATATATGCCTCGACACAAGCGTTTGAGTTCAGTTTATTTTCTGGCTCAATTCTTAGGTGATGATGAGATCTCGCTCTAAAAGCCATAGTTGTGTACAATTTTAATAAATTACTTAAACATTTTGCCGCAAAACCCGCTTGTTTTCAGGAAAGCTAATCGTGCGCATAAATTGCTTTCCCCAAGACCGCCTTTACTTGCGATACCAACTCGAAATACTTTTATACGGAACTCTAATCAAAATTATACTTGACACATTACTTCTGCAAGAAAGTTTGTTGTTTGCCCTAATAGGGCGATAGTTTTCGCGTACTAGATACTAATACACAACGAAACTGGTCGTAGATATGGGTGGAAGTCTTTTTTTCTTGGATACGTTGCTAATGTGATAACTTTAATTTTTTTTATATAATAAAAGTGTTGAAAAGTTCTGAGTTGACTCTGTCTGCATGATGATGCTGTACGCGAGTTCACACATTTCTCTCCACGACATTGATCTATTATATCTAGACCCATCTCTCTAGATCTCTCCTTTGAAGGAAGGACAAAACCAAACCAAAGTAACAGAGCTTCCCGAAGTGCAAAAAATCGCTTGTACGTGTTTCAGGAGACTTACATCCAAGAGACCATGTTCTCCGGTCACTCTCAGTAGAGGTTAAGAGTCTATCGATCTTACATAATTATAAACTAGGTTACCTTTAAGTCAAAACCCTTCTTTCCTCAGCTGATATAAATAATTGTACTAGAAACAGTACCTAATATCAAAATAACGCTCTTTCAGTCTGGAGTAGAGGATACCTGAGGAATAGTCTTAACATTCAAATGAAGGAGAGTTTAGCGTCTGTTTGGAAATATTCCCTGACGTTATTTTGTTTTTTGAGGCAAAATGATGCTTCAGCATACAGAGGAGAGGGGGTGAAATGGAGGGGGGAAGGGGGGTGGTGAATTCACCTAAATTTTTATACATAATTTTTTTGAAGGTTTTTACTGAGAAGAAAATGAGTTTTATCCTAACATTTCTGCAAATGTCGAACTTTGTCAAATTTGCCATTCTAAACGACATCACGAGTCCACCCCTGATGCAAAGATTGTCATTGGTGAGCTAAGTTGTAGTCTGTAGAGGGATAAGGTAAGTTTACTAAGGATAATTACTGTACTGCTTTTAAGAGTCGCTTCTTGGTAAGAATATTACACGTTGTTTGATAAGGTGGTTGGGTTTGTAGGAGTATCATGTGTGTTCTTTCTGTCGCTTAAATCATACCTTAACAGCTGTGTTTAGCAGTTAACAATTGATATTCTCTTACAAAATATCCAATCACAACGAGAACCCTAGAGAGGGTCTCTTACCTCTTCTCTTGCACTTCGATAGGGGGTGTCACTTAACTTCTGAGATTTACGCTGCTAGTCTTGAATCACTTAGATTGCGGTTCTCTCGAGATAGGACATAATCAACTAACAAAATAATTAGTAACCTTTGCAGCTATAAAATAGTTGGCATTCAGCTTTACATAGAGACAGAAACTATCAAATGGCCTTTTAGTCCAAACTGATTTAAGGCCTACTCTGGTTTCGCTTTACAATTCATTCTGCTTTCTGTCGAGAAAGAACGTCATAAAATTGTGGCCGATTATCTACGACAATTTCTGAGAAGAATATCAATATTTCATTTTTGATCATTCTACAAACCCAAAAGGTCAACACCAATGCCTTTTATTAAATGACTCTGCGGTTCACTTGTGTTACGTTGTCAAGTGTGCAGAAAGTTTACTTGGACATTGTACATACAATATTCATAAATGTTCCTTTAATTTTCCTTTTCCTCCAACGCGAGATGCTTTCTCTGACCAGAGGTCCGGTCTGTTGGTCATCAATACCATACATTCGTCAAACACGGTGGTTTTTCCTTCCACCACATTCTTCGCTGAAACGACAGTTAGTTCTAAAATCGCAACATGAAAAGCGATGCGACTAAACGATGTCGCACTGAATTATTGGACCTCCCGCCAAACTCAAAGGATCAAACCCTTAATTTCATTGATACTGAGAGGTCGCGTTCATACTCTTCACTAAACTCAAACGGTGCTGTTTTTTATTTTTTTCATTTTTCAAGTCATGAAAAATCGTTCTTGAATCCTCATTCTCAACAGTGCAGCACATGCTATATGACTGCCTGATATGTCATTTATAAATCAGTATCAGCATGACTATGCATACTAACGTAAACAACGGAACAATATGTGATGTTCTGGAGGGATGTTACTAAAAAACGATAAACGATGAACGAGGAAGAAAGAACGGAGAACTCGGTCTTTGGAGTAATCTGCTAAGACGATAAATTAAGTTGTTACTGAAGCGTTTTGACTTGAAATTTGACTTCAAAAGTTTAGTTTCAAGACGATAGAAATTGCAGGTGCGCTAGAAATCGGGTATTTGCATTAATTGGAGAATCAATCGTTCCGCCATTTATCCTTTCTAAAAGCGCCTAAATGAAGTGATTTTTTAATCTGGAGAACTCAAACAAAGACAAGAACAAAAATTAAATCACTTTTGGTTCGCTTTTACATCAGGCGATGAAGTGGGAAGCCTTTGTTTTACCATAGTCTTGAACTACTGGTAACCATTGATGCAAAGGCTGCGCACAAAACTATAATTTGACTATACATTTATAGCCAATATCAATCCTTACACATAATAAAATGTCAGTAGCTAGGATCAGAGGAAAAAATAATATGATTGTTACGTTTACCACAAGAAAACTTTCACTGGGTTACTAACTTAATTATTTCAGCTTCACCTCGTACTCTTACAAAGTGGGTCTCATTAAGACACTCGTTGATAGGGCCTGCAAAATTAATAGCACCTGGTTAAGATTTCACGAGGACATTAACAACCTTATTGATATTTTAAAAAAGAATCTTTTCCCAGCTCATTTAATAGAGAAGATTATAAACCTTTATATCACTAGGACCCAAAACAGTCATCATCCCCGGGATTCCCTTCCTACCACTTCACCTACGTTCTACTTTAAGCTACCCTACATAGGCCACTTCTCTGCTATCACTAAAAAAAAATCCGCCATTTTATTAAGTGCTATTGCAATGACTTGGATATCAAACTGGTTTTCTCTTCCTTTAAAATCGGTTATTTGTTTGGTGTGAAAGACCCTGTCCCTGACGGGCTTCGTTCACGTGTGGTTTATAGGTTTGTATGTGCTGGCTGTAATGCCTGTTAGGTCGGTCAAACCTGCCGGCATTTTTCCACACGTGTTAGAGAACACTTAGTCAGTGACAGGGCCTCTCACATTTTCAAACATCTGAAAGATTCTCCTGTAGTGTTCAACAGATAATTTCCATGTTTTAGATCACGCCTCCACTAGCTTTCAGCTTGAGATAAAAGAGGCTATTCATATTCAAAGAGAACAACCATCTTTGAATCAGCAATCACACCATGTAAATCTAAAACTTTCTTTTTAATTCTTACACTTTCGTGCTTTACCTCTTTTCATGTTGTCACTATTCATCTTAATTAGCATTGTTCTACTTACTATATAATTCAACTTTCAACGCTTTGTACAGTAATTAACTGAAGATGACAGAAGTTTCTGTCGAAACATGTTTTTCAAACTCAAAAGTGTTGTCGCTTTCTTTAAATTAGAATTTGGTTGAAAAATTAGAAATCAGCATAGGCCAAACAATTATGATTCCTAGAAAAAGAAATGCGTACTAATGAAAATGCAAAGCAAACTTTTTTACAACACCTGCCTGTACCTGTAAAGCGGGTAAACCTGTAGTTCAAGTCTTCGATGACTTCGAAATTTTGATGCACACCTCAAAAGGATACCAAATAAATTTCAAGTTTTTATTTATTCAGTTTGGGTTAAAGAGGTAGAATTAAGTCAAACATTCATACAATGACAGGTTCAGGGAATCTTCACAACTAATTCATAAGGTTAGTCTACCCGGACCAATCACCATCGTGTACAAATTAGACCAGGACCCAGTTATATGAAGTGTGAATAACGCTATCCAACAGATGAATTGCTATCCAGCGGATAAGTGATAGCAAAAGGTATAGCATTATTCATGGGATAGAGTTTTATCCAGTAGAGAGCGCTATCTAACCTTCGAACAACTGGGGCCAGGTTTGAACTGATAATGCACAAAAGAACCATCTGTGGTGAGAGGGCATGCTTTCCTTTCTCCATTTAAAGAAATACTGAGGTTATCTTCTTTCCACAAGCTCAGTGGAAAGTGAGAGTGATTGAGACTGATATTGACTATGTTATTTGAATATATGTCCAGAGGAGGCCAAAAAATAAGGTATGGTCTGCACAACTCTCTTATTTTTATTTTTTAACCTTCCTGCTTTGTGCATTATGTGGATGCCAATTAAATTTACTTTCATGCATTAAAATACAAACAATGTTCTCTTCATCTATGTGCCCTAAACATTACAGGGGAGGAGGCAGGTCAAAGTAAAAACATGAATTAAAAAAGGAGGGCCCCCGTTAATTTCAGTCCGAATTAAAGGAGGATCCAGATTCCAACCCTTTAAAACTCCCATTTCTTGAGACCAATTCCATATATCAACAGTTAGTTTGGGTATAAGCATTGATAAGAAGCACCATGCATTAATGAAAGCTTGAGAAATAGTATTTAATGCAATCTAAATAATACTATTACATGTTACAATGTGGTAACACAGCAAAATTGTATAATCACACAATTCCAAACAAAGGAAGCCAGGTTATTGACCTCCTTCAACTTTGAGTGCTTAAAGGTCCGAGGAATAGATATGACAAACAGGTACAATTTATACAAAGTTGAAAGTTTGAAAGTGAAAAGATATACATACATACATAAGATATACATTACAATCATTCATTCAGTCATTCATTTATTAATTTTGTCTGGTAGTCAGTCAGTCAGTCAGTTGGTCAATAAGTGGTCATGCGGGAGGCACGTGCTCTAGGTATTTTCTTTTGGATCAGATCTGAAATAGGATATCAAAAACCACATATAACCCCCCTTTTTTCAGACATTCAAGCTATTGCAGTTTTCAGGCATTCAAGCTATCACATTAAAGCTATTGGAGTTCAACAGTGTTTTTATGTTTCCAATTTTTGCAAAAAAAAAAACAGCAACAACAACAAAGTGAATTACACACCTGTCTCTAAAAATCAAAATAAAGAGTAGATTTCATTTGTAGTTTTTATGAAATGCCATAATAGGAAATTTTTGGATCCCCCTTCCCTTATTGGTCTCCCCTACACGCCTGCATCCCTCCACTTAACATTCCCTCCCGTAAGCAGAGTTCATGTAAGGCGGCCCTCTGGCGTTAGACTTACCTTTATCAACACCGTAGCTGTTACACATAACAAAGCTAGTTGTTGTTTCCATTTCGTGTTCGTACAGTAGCTTCTCAGCTGATTTTACATCAGGCACAAGATAGAAATTCTTAGAGATGACATGGTTCGAAGATACACGAAGGAGCTGATACCAAAATAGAGGGAATCTTGAGGAAAATTTCTTCCTATAAAATTGATTCTTGCTATGTACTGACTGAGTTTGTGCGTCTGGATTGCGTAACTATTTCGCTTTTGATCCGCTTGACTTCCGTTTCCGGCCTTAGGAATACGGCCCCACAGAGATAGATCAGCGGAACCCGACCTTGATTATATTTATTGGCCCTTTGAAAAGAATCCACGGTTGATAAACAGGAAAGAGGAGTTGAAAACTGTCTGTTACAAGTTATTTTTTATTTGCGTGACTTTAAGTTAGCTTCATACGCGCGCGTGATTGATCTCGGTGCCATCGAGTCACGCTCATTCGACACATTCGCAAGTTTCACGTATGGTTTACAATGAATTGAACATTTTGCCGAAAGGAAAGTTTCCACAATTCATGCAAATGTCCCAAGTGTATAGGTTAGATCGAGTTTTCTTCCATAAATTGCATCATCCGCCATGTTGTATAGGCAATATTACCGACTACGGCCGACAATTTCACGAGGGTGATCGTGAGACTCGGTCCCAGTCTCAATACGAAGAGGGGCTTTCTTTTACTCCTTCAAGGGACATCTGTAAGATTTAGACACAACCTTCCTCATTGAAGCATCAGCGAAGGTCTGATAAGATGGTGTCTTACCGTGATTATGAGATTTACTTGCTCTTTCTTCTGCTGGTGAAGTTTCACGGGTCAGGTAAGTGTGAAATTTATTCTCCCGTACAAAGGATTTTACAGTGTTTTTTATCATGTGCCAATTTAAGCTTAGAAACCGTAAACGCCGACCCTTTATTTCTGAACGTGACGTTCGTCAAAATTATTTCCGTACTCCAAAGTAGCTTTCAACAGTTTTTTTTATTTCAAATTTAACATATGATGTTGGAATTTCAATCACATACGTGATAAATGAAGTCTGAATAACAATGATGCGATACTAATCAAGAGCAAAGGATTTAATTTTCAAGTGTAACAATACCATACGATCAGAATTTGACATCAACTATGAAACTGAAAGGTGCACTATTTTCATTTTCTTGCTTAGTTTGAGTTTAAGTTCCTGCTTTGCCAGGTGGCTTTCCATTACAAACATGATGGCCATGCAAACCCAGGAAAGAGTTGCCATCTGTACCTAAACTCTCTTCCTTGCCATCCATCACTCATCATTGAGAAGAGCTGTTAAAAATTTTTCCACTCATTATTGGTTCAAAGAATGACCTCAGCGAGGATAATTGCTGCCAGCTAAGTTGAGCGTGATTTTTTCTCTAGGCAGCAATCCTGTAAAGAAACTACATAATGCACTTGGATGGATAATTGAGTATTATTTGTTCAACTACCAATATGTATGATTTGTGTACTGACTTGACCAGTTTTTAGCTTTATGCTCATATGATTGTGGTATCCCACACCAGTAGTCATGCACTACTTATTTTTGTTGCATATTTAGAAAAAGGTTTACTAGGACCAAAGTTTTTGAAATGTGTGTGTATACATGTGGGCTTATAATTAATAAATGCACTGAGATTTCTCCAAACTAAATTTGAAAATAAAATTGATATGTAATAAACTGCACAAATTCTGATAAGTCAGATGGTTTTCTCACAAGGGAGAAATTAGCTGAAATTTTTGACCAGTGAAAACAGTAGTATGGGTTTTCTTTGCCTTTGTGGTGTGGCTTTTGCTAAAGTGATAGCAATGTTTGCTGGTTGCATACAACTGTAGAATCGTGACTTCAGGGTTAAAAACAATAAGTCAGCTATTGGTGTAAACAAGTTAGATTAATTTATGAAGATAATGTCATAGAAAAGCTGGATTTTATGAAAATTTGTGAAAATCACTCTGATTTCACTTCATGCAAACTGATCACAATCTTTGTCAAAATCTTTGCCTAGATCAATTCCTGACATTCACAATCTGAGGAACTAAAGTAGAATCTCCTCCAAAATGGTACAAAAGACTTAAATTTCTAGATTCTGACTCTGATAAGAAAGCATGACAGTCCACCTTTGCCATTTCAGTAGTGCTTATGTGAATGAGCAAAAATTTATGTTGAATTTATTTGAATTATTTTATAATATTGCATGACCAATCACAGGCATTGTGTGAAATTAATTTGGTGTGAAAAAAATGGCATTGCTTTTCAAGTCTTTTAAAGGGACTTGCCAAAGGGAATGAAAGTTGGCATTATGCTTTATGCTGCTTTCTGAGGATTATGAACTTCAAGGTTTACAGATGTAAATTTAGTCAACAGAATGGTGACTTCCTCAAGTAAGTTCTTAGACTAAGACTTGGATTTAATTTATAAGTTGGAGCAAAATTTTCTTAAAGTTATAATAATAATAATAATAATGAACGTTCTTAATACGCATTTAAGAATCTCAATGCGCTATGGAAAGTTATGGAAGCAATAAACCAATAAAGTCTATCATCCAAGTTCTTTATGCTCTTTGAAAGATGTTGAGCATGCAAACAGAAAATAATTCCATGATGATCAACTTGGCCAGGTAGGAATGCTGTTCCTAGCAGATTCTGTTATTCATGGAGATCAGTTCAACAGCTCTAATTTTATTGCTGACTTTGGTTGCTCCACTGAGAAACTGGCTGAGTTCTGCAAAGAGCTCCAAGGGACTAAAAGTATTCAATTTCAATTTAGAGTATGAAACATTTTTTGAGCTTATGCAACCTAAACTTTTCCAAAAATTTTCATGTATAAAACGGAAGCATAGTGTTCTTTGAGCAGACTTTTTAATCTTCTCTCTGAGCGTTTTAACTTTCATTTTTGAACACAGTATCTTGGATATCCTAACAACCTTAAGAACATAGAAACATGTGTGATATTAAGTAGGTATCTTCTTGGTCATTTAACTGTGATTCAAAGTTGAAAACATTTGTGATATCTCAATACTCATGTACAATTTAATACTTCATTGTTTTCTTGAACGATTTTATTCACTTGTTGCAAAGAATCCAAACTCACTGTTTACTGTTTTTGATCATCTATGACAAGTGAATAAAAATTGTCACCTCTTTCATCTCTACCAAAATGCTGGTTGTCGTTTTCATGTAGATTGCGTTTGGATAGAAGTTGTGACATGAAGAATGGAATCTATTATGCAACAAGATATTGTTGTAGAGAAGTGTGTTAGGGACTAAGATTCTCGTTCGACCGGTTTGACAGCTATTCATACCCTAGTTTTCTCCTGACTGCTCACCACATATCCAAGATGTCCCGTGCGCTGTCAATAGTTTTGCAGGTTTTGATCTAGCGTGTTCACCATGATCCTTTTGGCATTGAGTTTTGAAAAAATTCATCTTTATCCTGACTATATTCATCTTCAAGTGATTAAATGCCTTTTTCCAGCTAGAATAGGGTCTTCCACCTAACACCTAAATTTGGCTTACATCCTAAGGTTTCTTCTATTTTACTGCTGATGTCATCAATGACATTGATGAGGCTAATGCTCCCACGGTTTCTGCGATTTGAAGACAGCTAAGAATCATTTTGTTCCTTTTGATAGGCGGCACATTTTAGCACAATTTAAATACCATCTGCCTTCTTCTGGTCTCTTAGTTTCCTAGTTGATAATGGTTGATAATTTTTCTTGTTAGGGTGTAGACTTCTACTTTAGGTGGCATTTTGAACTAATTGTACTATCTTTCTTTCAAAGTGTCGGGTCAGCAATAATTGTAAATGGGTAGGTATAATTCTATAGATATTCTATAAATATTAGACTGATCAATAGCGATTTCGTAAAATTTTTGACAAAAATGAACGGTAGAATGATTCGATTAAACTTCGGTCATTTTCAAGTGAATAGTAAGAATGTCATGATGAAAATATATATGCGTGTAAGAAGTAGAAAAATTTTTGGAAGTGTAAATGGACGATAAGAACATACAAAGAGAAGAATAATTAGATGCTAATTGGAAACCAAATGAAAATAAAAATAAAAATTAAAAACCTAATTAAAATCCCTTGTACGAATTGAGTCCAACTGCACATTGAGAGCAGGTCTCGGTTCTTGAATATAAACATTTCATAGAGTAGGTAGTCAAATTTTTTCGTACACTTCTTTGGAACACTAAAATTCTTTGTAAGATCCCTCGAGGCCAAAGACTGCTTGTCATGAAATCCAACAAGCCAATCGATGAAGTCGATTTTCTGTGTTCTTGAACATGTTGATGCAGATGGCGGCGTGTAAAACCAACATAACCTGCATCGTACAGGTCACATTTAATGTTGTAAACAACAGTCGTGTGGCAACAGACGGATTTGATATGGGCTCCCCCTTGGTTCTCTTTTTAATGTGCAGCATTGAGGATACTCATAACATCGATAAATTAAGTGAATTTCATTTCTTTATAACGCGCGATGTTTAAGCATCATTAATTAATCCTGTTTGTCTTTGAGGTCGTGTGACCTGTAACTTGAGCAAAATTATGAGGTAAAATTTCCGCACAGCCCCATCCTACATTATGCATTCAGTTCTTGAACAGAGAAAACAATGACAAAAACAATACATTTACATTGGGAAAACAGATTTGTTTTGCAATAGTATGGAGCTGTCTCGAAATTTGAACATCGTCTATCGGTCGTGAGCACGGTTTTAACGGTCAGCGATTTGAAGCTTTTGATGTATAAGGCTGAAATTGAATACAAAATGTTACGCGCGACATTTCGGGAAATGCTGCTTTCATAAGAGCAGATTTGCTTCGTTCGTACTTTTTATTCACGGATAGCGTTATGTGATAATCATAATGATCATCATGACAAATGGCTAAACTGCAGAATACCCGGCCACTTTGGTCCGCCTCACTTACATCTGTCGGGAGGCTTTGAAAATCGAGGCATAACACAATAGACGCTATTCTAATCAGACGCTCGTTCTTGTTTACTTTTGTTCATTGATATGAGTCGAGAACAGCGCCGTGTTGACAATGAGTGGAGTTATAAGCAATTTTGTTGGCAATTCAGATTCACACTTAAGATTCAAGAAAATGGAGCGAATCAAATCGTTCAAACAGTAGCGGCAGTCTTGCCTACTTGTGAACAAATATGTTTTTTCGCTTGACGTTAATCGTAAACAGCAGAATGGAATCTTATTTTCTTCAGTTATCTTATGAACCTAAAATCATCCTGGTAAAACATTAAGAAAATTTCTCCTGCTCCAGCCAGTTGCAGATAATTTCATGTAACTTTACAGACGAATGAATGCAAACGATTCAACTTTTGCTGTCAGTTGCTAGCCGTAAACTTTTACGGAAACGACTCTTTTGAACTTGATATTTTCTGATCTTTCTCGCTTTCTAAGGAAGTACCCAGCAGGTCAAAAACTTTTTCCTTTTTCTTCTCAATGCAGGCAAGCCATTTCGAAAACAAACTGACGCCAAACGCTTCGGGACAAAACCACGTAATGTCACCTCTATGGAGTCCCTCCTTTGTTCTAAATACAACACACCATTCAAAGTTAAACAAAAGAATGCTTCATAAATATAAATGAGCTTCTTCCGCGCACGTTTTTTGCGTGCGTTTGAAAAAATTGCACGCGTGTGCATGGGTTTTTTAACGCACTTTTCCGTGAATTTAGGGCCCAAGTACCTCTGAGCTGTACTGTAATTCCCGCAACAGATTGAGTATTTGTTTAATTTGCTGAGTGATAACCTCTGTTGGGAACTTGCAAAACGTTTAATAAATAGAGAATAATACATGGGCGCGCGTAGATATGGAATTTCTCTTCGAGTGTTTAACTCGATAGCTCACGTGGTACTGGTCGGTGTGTGTGGGTTTTCTGTATACACTTGTGAGTAGTTTACCGTACGCGTCCGGTTCCCTTGTTACAAGGGTGTCGAGGAAGGCGATCTCGTTGTTATTCTCAGTTTCCATGGTGAAGCGGATGGACGGGTGTTGTTGGTTGAGGTAGCTCAAAAAAATTATCCGCGTTGTGCTGTTTCATGACGGTGAACGTGTCATCTACATAGCACTTCCATATTCTCTGTGGTTCTGGGGCGGTAGCTAAGGTTTGTTCTTCGAAGGCTTCCATGTATAGATCGGCAATTACAGCGGAAATCGGGCTGCCCATCGGTGCTCCTTCTTATTGCTCGTAGAGTGCTCCGTTGTACTTAAGAGAGGTTGTCGGTAATTTTCAAGAATCCGTCGACAGAAGCAAAAATTCAACCCTTTTTTTATTTGCTCCAAAAGACCCTTTTGGTGAATAATATGTTTATGGTTGTCTATTTTAGGGGGTGTGAATATGCCTTTCACCCAGGAACCTTCTGATCCAAGCTACTTTAACAATCGTAGTGATGCCAACCTGGTGTGGGACTACACTGATGCACATGATACGATTCAGAGCATTACCTTTAGCGTTGTGATAAACGGTGCATTTCTCAAAATGATAGTCAATGACAGCAATGGTGTCCAAGAACATCCTTCTATTCCTCTTTCTTACAAAGGAAGAGTTAAAATTGAAGGAAGAGCTACCCTGGTTATCAAGACCATCAACCCAGGAGACAATAACAAATTTAGATGTGAACTGGGCGGATCTATCAACACGTTTGCCAGTACGGTTCAGCTTATTGTGGCAGGTATGTATCACTAACATAGTCATCAATAATCTAACATAAAGCAAATGCATTCAAGTCATGTCTATTACATTTCTTAGATTTGGAGAAAGTAAACAATAGCATAAATTTGTGAAAACCTTGATATGCAGAGCTGAAAGTAGCTAGCTAACCTGACTTTTGGGAACAATAGTGGTACTTATACTTGGCATGCAACACTGCACTCCTAAAAGGAGAGAAGAAATTCTACCATTTACTTTGCTGTTTCTCATGAGTAAGAAATCAAAGAGTTATTGCTTTATTCTTCTGGCAAGGATTACTTTGTTATGCATAGATAACTATAATGTTACTATGAGCACTGAGATTTTCTCTTAGCAAAGCTGTCAATTGAAAATGGTCAGTCGAAACTAGAAACAATCCAACTGGTTGCACAATAAATCAATGAAGGAAAATATTGCATGACCAATCACAGGCAGCATGTGAAATTAATTTGGTTTTGAAAAAAATAATATTGCTTTTCAAGCCTTTTAAGGAGACCTGCCAAAGGGAATGAAAGTCAGCATTGTGTCATTTGCTGCTTTCTGAGGATTATGATCTTCAAGATTTGCAGATGTAAATTTTATCAACAGATTGGTGACTTCCTCAAGTAATTTCTGACACTAAGGAGCAAGTTGAGACAAAATTTTCTTAAAGTTATGAAAACAATAAACCAACAAAGTCTATAATCCAAGGTCTTTATGCTCTTTGAAAGACCGGTCAGCGATTTGAAGCTTTTGATTTTTGAGGCTGAAATTGAATACAAAATGTTACGTGCGACATTTCGGGAAATGCTGCTTTCATAACAGCAGTTTTGCTTCGTTCGTACTTTTTATTCACGCATAGCGTTATGTGATAATCATAATGATCGTCATGACAAATGGCTAAACTGCAGAATACCCGGCCACTTTGGTCCGCCTCACTTACATCTGTCGGGAGGCTTTGAAGATCGAGGCATAACACAATAGACGGTTTTCTTATCAGACGCTCGTTCTTGTTTACTTTTGTTCATTGATATGAGTCGAGAACAGCGCCGTGTTGACAATGAGCGGAGTTATGAGCAATTTTGTTGGCAATTCAGATTCACATTTAAGATTCAAGAAAATGGAGCGAATCAAATCGTTCAAACAGTAGCGGCAGTCTTGCCTACTTGTGAACAAATATGTTTTTTAGCTTGACGTTAACCGTAAACAGCAGAATGGAATCTTATTTTCTTCACTTATCCTATGAACCTAAAATCATCCTGGTAAAACATTAAGAAAATTTCTCCTGCTCCAGCCAGCTGCAGATAATTTCATGTAACTTTACAGACGAATGAATGCAAACGATTCAACTTTTGCTGTTAGTTGCTAGCCGTAAACTTTTACGGAAACGACTCTTTTGAACTTGATATTTTCTGATCTTTCTCGCTTTCTAAGGAAGTACCCAGCAGGTCAAAAACTTTTTCCTTTTTCTTCTCAATGCAGGCAAGCCATTTCGAAAACAAACTGACGCCAAACGCTTCGGGACAAAACCACGTAATGTCACCTCTATGGAGTCCCTCCTTTGTTCTAAATACAACACACCATTTAAAGTTAAACAAAAGAATGCTTCATAAATATAAATGAGCTTCTTCCGCGCACGTTTTTTGCGTGCGTTTGAAAAAATTGCACGCGTGTGCATGGGTTTTTTAACGCACTTTTCCGTGAATTTAGGGCCCAAGTACCTCTGAGCTGTACTGTAATTCCCGCAACAGATTGAGTATTTGTTTAATTTGCTGAGTGATAACCTCTGTTGGAAACTTGCAAAACTTTAAATAAATAGAGAATAATACATGGGCGCGCGTAGATATGGAATTTCTCTTCGAGTGTTTAACTCGATAGCCTACGTGGTACTGGTCGGTGTGTGTGGGTTTTCTGTATACACTTGTGAGTAGCTTACCGTACGCGTCCGGTTCCCTTGTTACAAGGGTGTCGAGGAAGGCGATCTCGTTGTTATTCTCAGTTTCCATGGTGAAGCGGATGGACGGGTGTTGTTGGTTGAGGTAGCTCAAAAAAATTATCCGCGTTGTGCTGTTTCATGACGGTGAACGTGTCATCTACATAGCACTTCCATATTCTCTGTGGTTCTGGGGCGGTGGCTAAGGTTTGTTCTTCGAAGGCTTCCATGTATAGATCGGCAATTACAGCGGAAATCGGGCTGCCCATCGGTGCTCCTTCTTATTGCTCGTAGAGTGCTCCGTTGTACTTAAGAGAGGTTGTCAGTAATTTCCAAGAATCCGTCGACAGAAGCAAAAATTCAACCCTTTTTTTATTTGCTCCAAAAGACCCTTTTGGTGAACTGTTTTCAAAAATGATATTCAAAAGTTTGTTCACTTAGCAATAAAGGTAGGGTAATTTTAAAGTTAAAATTGATATATTTAAATGGATTAAAACAGAAGTAGAGACCAAACACGTCGAGTTTTGTCCCAATAGCGTGTGATTTGCAGAAGGAGTACAGCAAGAAAATG